TTTCCCGGACTATTTATCGGATCCCCGGAATATTGGTGCTGAGGGCGCAGCTTGACGGCGTGGGTGCAGCGACGGCAGGAGCTCGGTGGAAGTGAGCGGCTCGTGCTTGCAGGGCCCGTTCAATGTTGGTCGCCTCTGTTACAAACGTTTCGACGGTGGTCGGCGGGTTGCGGACGAGGCCTCCGAAAATGTCATCTCGTACGCCTCGCATCAGGATCCGCAACTTCTTTTCGTCGGTGGCTTGAGGGTCGGCGCGAGTGACCAGGCGCAGGACATCCTCGACGAAACTGGTGATGGTCTCGTTTGCGCCCTGGGTTCTCATTCGAAGAAGGTCCTCGGCCCTCTCCCGTCGATACTGGTTTGTGAAAGTTCGCCTCAACTCATTCTTGCAGGCGGTCCACGAGATCAATGATGTCTCCCGATTCTCGAACCAGTGCCTGGCCGTTCCTTCGAACGCGAAGTAAAGGTTCTGCAGGCGCTGGTCGGCCGTCCATCGGTTGTGCTGGGCCACCCGCTCGTACTGTTGAAGCCAGTCCTCGACGTCTTCGTGGGCGTCCCCGTGGAAAGGCGTCGGAGTCCGGGGTGCGACTGGCAGGTGGACGAAGGCAGGAGCGGCCGGGGTCTGTGATTGCTGGCCGTCCATCGTCGGCTTCGTCGGCTGCTTGGTCCTGAGTGGCAGAAGTCCGTATTCCGAGTGTAGACCTTGGGTGCGGCGACTGGTCCGAGTTTCAGGTTCCGCGTCGAGTGGACTTCTCACCGGGCTCGGAATCGGGCTTGCACTGCGGGCCCTGGGAGGGGAACGCTGCACGGGCATGCGATACCCCGCACCTCCACCAAAATGTCACGGGTGGTGACCAAAAGAACAATAACTAAACAGAAAGAAATAAACGTTTAATGTGGCGAGCTTGTGCCAAAAATAAAAGGGTACAAATAGAATAACAGAGCGTCGCGGGCGTCGAAGTCGGCGTAGCAGCACAGTCGAACGCTGGGGCGAAACTGACTCCGGCTTACCTGCGGAGCCGCTTTTGTACACACGTTGACTTCTGGAGCATTCGACGTAGAAGGTTCGACGCGTAGAAAATTCTGACCTCGAATCAGCTAGACGGTTCTCGATTTCACCAGAACATCACATTACAGTGTTAAGAAAAATGCATAGCCGCGGCCAGGAATCGAACCCTGGCCCTTCGCGTGGGAGGCAAGCGCGATAACCGTTAGGCTACGGCCGCGCTGCCTACTCGGCGCGCGGCAATATTCCATTGGAATGTTTTTTTTTTTTCACTTAATACAAGCTTACTGGCACTAGAAGGACTCAAGGATACTCGCACACAATGCCACTGGCCAAGAAACTTCTTTGTTGCGGTGTGATTTCAAGGACAGAATCAAGCGCTTTCATTCCATCTCTCCTGCGCAAAACTTGATGACGTAGCCGGGCGGTCACAGCATCGCCCAGTTGCGATACTTTAATGTGGCTCATAGACAGGACCCGAGTATTGCGTGGGCACTCCATTTGGGCTAGTGATAATCGATAGCTCGAGAAGCATTCGGGTAGTGGCCCGTGTCCAATCGCTGCAATGACCACTATAGCCGAACCATAACAATGTCTGGAACTCAGCGCATGTCCTGATCCTTGCCAACCCCAGCAAGTGGCTATGGTCAACATTGACGCCATATAATCGGCTCCAGATCACTTGGCCGCTTGTTCTGGCTGCGAGTTTAGGGGGTGAACGCTGCTCGTTTTTCTCTGATTTTTTCTGCGACGTCCATTGCGTTGCTGAAAAACGAACGGGTGCTTCAGAGGTCATTAACGCCAGGGATCCTTTCTAAGCGGCATTTGCGCAAAGTACAAATACCGTTGCATTATCATTTAAGAGTCACCTTTAAGCAACTAAAACACTCAGTTGGGGAACTCACATTTGAAACCTGGGCCGCTGGCGTCCACGGAGACCGAGCTAAATACGCTAACAGGGCCACCTTTTAGCGACGAGTTGAAATATGAACTTTGCTTGATATGGCTACTGCTACAGCCACTGAATATTCACAGAGTACCAAAAACAGCAGGCTCGAGGTACCAAGATGACGGCTCAATATATATATATATATATACAGGGTGTTTTTTTTTTATTCTTACACATTTGTTTAAAAGAATCCGTGAAAGCTACACTAATGCTGCTTGTGCAGGTGGGTTATACGACCAGGCGGACATTATGTGGGTGACTATACTTCGTTTCAATTTATTAGCGAGCGAAGCCAAAGCTAGAAGCGCGAGACCATCGCTTTGTGCGTTTCTACCCAGCTTGCGCGCTTGAGCAAAACCTGAACGCACGGAGCTTCCGTGCTCGCGCTTCCAGCTTTACCTTCGCTCGCACATAAGGTGAAACGAAGTATAATCTTTGCGATAAGTCAGTTAATTAATTAAAATTCGTTAATTAACTTTTTAATTAGTGTAAATAGACATATAGTTTCAATTAGAAACTTGTAGAGCATCATTGAAAACCACTAAATCATCTGTTTTTGGGAGGACATAACGCCGGGGAAGCATTTTACGCCGTTCTGTAAAAGCGTTCCATTTGGACGCGTTTCTAGATTTCGGTTTCTTATCGGAGCGCATCACCGCGCCCGCGGTCCTGCTCCCCAGTGGCTGAGACGCGCAACACACGTGCGCCTTACTTCCCTCCATTCTACGAAGGAGGCGAGGAGGTGGCTTCGCGCCGCGACCACCGGGGAGCAGAATCGCGGGCGCGTAGATGCGCTCCGATAAGAAACCGAAATCTAGAAACTCATCCAAATGGAGCGTTTTTACAGAACGCCGTAAAATGCAGCCCCGGCGTTATATCCTGCTAAAAATAGTAGATTTAGGGGTTTTCAATGATGCTCAGCAAGTTTCTAATTGAAACCATATGTTTATTTTCAGTAATTAAAAAGTTAATTAACGAATTTTAATTAATTAGCCGACTTATTGCAAAGATTAGCCGCCCACATAATGTCCGCCTGGCCATATAACCCACCTGCACAAACCGCATTAGTGTAGCTTTCACGGTTTTCTTTAAACAAATGTGTAAGAATAAAAAAAAATAAAAAAACTATATATATATATGTATAGACTCTACTACGTCGCGCGTTGACAGCGCAGCAGAGGTTGGTTGCACTATCTCTCCACGGGGCGCGGTGCCGTCGGGGCTGAGATGCGCTCCGATAACAAACCGAACCTTAAAAACCCGTCGATTTTGTGCGGTTTTTCAGAAAGCCGTATACGCATCGCGTGCCTTCTATCGCTCTGCAATTTGTTGATTTCGTGTTTTTCGATGACGCTGAGAAAATTTTCTAATGTAAACCATGCCCTTAAACACAATATTAAAAAAAGTTAATTACGCAAAAATAATTAACAACTTAATCATCCCGAACTTTAATAATTTTCCTAAATGGGCCCCTGGTCCAGGACCAAACCACCACAAGACTTTTTTCGTTGCGATGAGTAGTTTTTGCAGGAGCGATTTGGTCTTCGTTCTCTGAAACACCCTATATATATATTTTTTTTTTTTTGTTTACTGGATTAATTATGAGGTGTTTGAAAGCATATTTTTTTGCGTCAAAACAAAGGAAGAAAACCTCTTTTTGAAGGAACGTTTATTGGCGATTAGTAAATAATTAAAGGAGCGTGATATGTGCATTAAATTTTAGTTTAAAGGGTTTTGCTGCACGAATATATTGTTTTATGCAGCCATGTATCACCGGTGACTTCAGGTAGTGCTTCCCAACCTGGGTGCGTCCTCACTTCGGTAAATAATCGCGGCCCGTCCGCTTGGGAAACAGGGGTTTACAGCCCTCCCTTTCAATGTATGCGCATCGGCGCTAAAATTGCAGATTAAAGCCACAATAGCACAGTCACAGTGGTCGCTATCCAATGCAATACTGCCGAATACAAGCAGCCATGCAGTTCCCCGAGATGCCGCAGCGGTAGAAATGGCGGCGTTGCGATCGCCGTTAGTTCGGTTCTCGAGTACGGATCGGTGCCCCTTTTTCAAAGCAGGCACTGTGGCAGTTTCCCAACTGAGCTGTTCTATACTCTGTTTCACCTTATGATGTTATTGTTGAATTAACAGCGCAAATACGACAAGAAGGGAGAGACAAGGGAGACAGGATAGACATTATGATGTACCGCAGGAAAGGCTACAAGCGCGGGCTCCTTGCTCTAGGGCACATCTCGGCGGCACAAGGTCTCGTGCGTTAAGAGCAGCTCCCAACGCTATGAGCACGCTCTTCTAGCTTTCTCTGTGGTACAACATCAGGTGAAACGGAGTGTAGTAACGCTTTTGCTTAAAAGTGGAACGCTGTTGGAACCCGTTCGCCAAGCCTTTTCATACAAACACGCGCTCGTTTCCAATCCGTGTAAGCGCGTGTGCGTGGTCTAGTCGGTACAGTCCCGTGTCACGTGACATCACACGTGAGCACTGTGGGTTGTTTGAAATACCCGCGCGAGGTCACGTGGCGTGACGTCACACGCGTAGCGCCATGTGTGACCTCGAATTTCGCTGTGACGTCATGACCCTATCGACCTGCTAATTTCGCAAGACATTTTCCCGCCAACTTTAGCGGACGTCACACGCGAACTCACGTGTGACGTCACGAGGCTGACGCGGGGACATCACCAGGGACATGCCGGGATTTTTCCCTCTGACACCGACGCCGGCTTTTCAGGAACACGAGCCCCTAAACGCTATCGCGTTAAAACGTTGACCCATGTAGTCGCCTTGCTATTTCTGTTATTTTAAATTTGGGGCAGCATTGTTTGAATGAAAACACTTGGTATATCTTAGGCTTCATGACAATCCCAACATTTTCAAATGCTATATAGAAACGTTTTGATTGTTTTATTAGTTTTTCAGCAAGTAATTAAAATATTTCAAAGAACAGCAACGACATATTATGGATCGCCAACATAGTTCATGTGTAGTTCGAAATATGTAACACGTATTCTTCAGTAGGCCCAGGCTTAATGAAAACTACGACATAGCACAAAGAGGCAGAGAGCATCTTGAGGGGCTTTTCCATTTCTTCGACTCTGGCGGCCGTTCTCTCGGATTTTTGGCACGAACCCTCGTCATGGCTTCAATCGCTGCCATCAGATCATCGTCTATAGGTAACAACGGAGAAGAGTGCGGCGCAAACGGTGCTTCGCTACCCAAGCTATATTCCTCTTCCGATTGATTGCCCAGGCACAAGCATTTCGTCGATCCCACACCGGATGTGCTGAGCAGTTCCACGAAGCGTTCGTTCAGTTTCTGCCTGCAGTTTATGTGCCAGAAGGGACTTCGAAGACACATCGCCAGCTGAGAGCTTGTAAATCCGACTGTAGCGTCCGCAACTTCCTGCAGGGACAAGTCGGTCACGTAGCCATCGTTTCCACTGAGCAGATGCCTCGTTATGAGCGCCCGAACCTCTTCATCCGGCAGTGGCACGTAAACCCGCCTTTGGAACAAAGACTGCATTTGAGGACTGAGCAGCCAGGGGGTGTTCGTGATTCCGATGACCTGTTGGCAGCAACATTTTGATTCGATAATTTTCTTGATGCAATTCTGGAACACGCGGAAGGCCGATTCATAGCTGGGCTGACAAAGGGCTTCCAGTCTGTCCAGGATTATAGCGGTAGGTCGTCGGGTATCCACTGCTGAGAACACGGTGGCCATTGCGAGTAGGAGTCGGTCTTGCGGCTTCTGGAGGAATTCTGGTACGTAGATGTAACATGCAGTTGAAAGCCAGGTTCTAGTGCAGAAGGCGCGGGCAAAGCTGCACTTGCCAACTGCGTCTGGTCCGGAAACGAGAAGAGTTTTGCAGGACTTTTCCTGAACGCCGCTCAGAGGTACTTCCAGACTAGGAATTCGCAGGAGATGGAACGCTTGCCGCAGGACGTCAATAAATTCCATATTCACGCAGCGTCCGCAATGTTGGCCAAACACCACGAGGCCTTCGAATTCGCAAAGATATCTCTTGTTGGCGACGACGGTGTTGCTGTGCGGCACGATGTCGAGCCACAGCTCTGGCTGGGTGACGTGAGGTCGCAGCTTTTCCAGTCTTAGCGAGTACCGTCGAATCCGGTGCAGGATCGTTTCCAGTGCTTCTTCCAAATAAAATGTGGCTTGCGTGTAGTGAGAAATAGTCTTACTGTGCTTGTTGCTTAGGAGCTCGAGTAAGGCGGCTCGCTGGGCGTGTTTTCGGGCGTAACACAAGCTGCGCATGCTGGAATTTTGATGGATTTTGGAGTTACTCGAATTGTTGTGAATTTCTTCTTCTTTTAGAAAAAAGATTTTTTTTCCTCGCTTTGACGAGATAAAATATTGAAACTCGCGGTTGAATTATACATTCAGTCAAGAACATTAATTTATAAAGAGAGATAAATAAGTATGGTTTGAACATTTATACCATGCTACTCATAAATTTTAATTTGGGCATCTTTCCAATAAATCGCGTAAAAGATTTCTTGTATAAATAAGTGTTTTATATCCTCCAGAAATGCCCCGTGACTCACATGCTTCCCCAATTAATCTTGATCAATCCCTTTAACGCGTTTTAAAATGTTCTTTTCTATGCAATGCACAAAAAAAGAAAAGAAAAAAAGTACTACGACGTGTGAATTCTTTGAGAATTTTGTCATAATGAAGCTGAGCGGATAACACATGAAAAACGCGACTATAAGGAGTATTCACTGGGTGCCATATTTGTGGGTGCTGTTTAGAGCCCATGCTCAGAACGAGCCCACATTAATAGGCTGCTAAGACCGGCAACCTTGAGGGTGCGGAATGCACGTTCCAAAAGAACTGTGCAAGCTCGCCATCAGCACGCGCTCAGCAGTCACCCACACAGCTATGGCCGCCAGTGAATGCTTTCGATAAGGAGTATTCACTGCACGCCATATTTGTGGGTGCTGTCTAGAGCGCATGCTCAGAAGGGGCCCATATTAATAGGCTGCTAAGACCGGCAACCTTGAGGGTGCGGAATGCATGTTCCAAAAGAACTGTGCAAGCTCGCCATCTGCACGCGCTCATCAGTCGTGCACACCGCTATTGGGCAGAAGATCGAACTATAGGGGGCGCTTTATCGAGCTTGTTGTCCCCATAGCCCGGTGTTTACTAACACAGTATAACAAAGAAATTGAACCTCGCGAGCGCGGTCTGGGCACGAGCGCTTCTCTTTGACCAGTGCTTTAGTCGCACGAGGAACTGCCTTCGAATCGTCATCTTTCATTTCTCAGATAAAAAACAAACAAGAAAATACGGTTTGTTGTCCCCACAGCTGAGGCGTACCGCTAGAGGCGTGGCTGTTGGATCTCCTCCCCAATAGCCGCCAGTGAATACTTCCTATTAGTTTGCCTCAATGCCCTTCTGCTTAGGGTGATGCCATCGTTCGTAGTACCCGATGCCGACAGCACGCGCCCACAGGGAAAATACAAAGAAATCGCAGGAAACATAATGTCGCCGTAACACAGTCAGCGCCAGGAGCGCGTGCAGGGAGACGCCCTTTCACGCGCTTCAGAACAAAAAATAAAAATAAGCGTTCGAAACAAAATGGCCAGATGTCATCACCCCAAGCAAAGCGCACATGAAGGCACCCTACTTCCTATACTCCGATTCACTTTAAGTGCAAACAAATCCGAAGCGAGAGCGCGCTTAGAGCTTTTAACGTCCCCGCCTAGCACCCGCGCTCGTACAGTCCAAGCGTCGTTCAGGCATGACCACCGAGAAAGCAAGCGCGCACCAAGAACTATAGGAGGTGATGGTTCATGGCAACGTTACTGTACTTCGTTTCACCTTATGTTGTACCGCAGCGACAGCTGGGAGCGGGAACTCATAGCGTAGGGAGGTGCCCTTAATGCATGAGAGCTTGTGCCGCCGAGATGTGCCCTAGAGCACGGTGTAAGATAATACTCTTCAGGTGAGGACAGCGCGCTCCTCGCGCAGTCCAGGTAAAGTTCGCTTTTCACTCTCTCTCTTTCTCTCTCTCACTATGGTTCCAAGCGGCGCCGGCAGATGACTCGTCGACCCGTGGGCACGGCAAAGACGGCTCGTGCCGCCCACGGTGGAAGAAATACATTTAGGTGATGACTCTCTGTCTCGCGCGGCGACCACATTATGTTCGACGCACCGAGCGCGCTTCACTCGTACGGGAATAGATGGCGCGGGCGTATAGAGCGGCTTGTGAAGGCTTGTATACGCCTCGCAAGTGGGCTCATTTTCGTCTTCTGCGCATGAAAAAGGAAGTAGCGGTGACGTCAGAACGCCGAGCCCTGATTGGCTGATCGGGACCCCCTATCTGAGCGTCGTCTGCTCCTTTGCAACGTCGTCTGCGTCTGTCTTACCTTTCCTGCGACTTTCGGAAGTACTTCGCCTTTCAGAGTAGTCAGACGAAATAACTCGAGCGGTAGGTTGTTTTTGTCTTACAACTAGCCGACGCGCATCAAGGAGGGAAGTCAAAGGACTCACTGGCGAGGTGTCCCGAGGCGCCGAGGTTTGTTTGCTGAGAACCGAGAGTGAGGGTGGTTAGTGTCCGCAAGTTCCCTCCCAAATACTTTTTCTCTCCTTTCGTGTGCGGCGAGACTTCTCACTCTTTAACGGCGTCGGCGGGTTGGAGCAGTTAACGTGGCCTGCTTTACGTCTGCTAGTCAAAGCGATGGCTGCTTTACCTTTCCTGCGTCTGTCGGAGATTCACCGCTTTTTTACCGGCGGGAGTCACCGTTGCCTCGGAAAACAAGGAGATGACAAGAGGAAGAGATTGACCTCCTAATCTAAAATTGAGGTGAGCGATCAAAGTAAGACGGAAGGGTTCACAAGGGTCGCGCGGGCATATTCCATTCAGCTCGCCAGCCGGTCGTGGGCAGACGGTCGCCGAGTCGCAGTGCCCGCTAGGCCTATCTGCTGTGCTCGCTTGGTCGTTGTTGGTGGAATCGTGACCGTTGGAGCTTTTCCCGGGTGTTTGTGGATCCAGCGTTCTTGTTCCTCGTGGTCTGTTTCAAGTACTTTTTACTTTTTTCTTGCTGCTTGAAGTCGGGACGCGTGAGAAGCGCACGTAGAAAAATAAACGTCCGTTGGTCGTCGCGACCGCCACGCTGTCGGCCATGCTGATTTGATTAAAACAGCTTCGGAGCTGTCGTAGGATTTCGTCGTAACCTGCGCAAAACTTACGAAAATTTCGTTTCGTAAATACGAATTTGTTCTCGAGTTTTGTCTTACGCATATTTTTGGCGTAAGATCGTTTTGTGAACCTGGCTTCTGCACTTCCGAAAGTCGCAGGAAAGGTAAGACAGACGCAGACGACGTTGCGAGCAGACGACGTTGCAAAGGAGCAGACGACGCTCGGATAGGGGTTCGCGATGAGCCAATCAGGGCTCGGCGTTCTGACGTCACCGCTACCAACTGCGCAAGGAGCAGACGAACTTGCCCTCCGCATAGAGGGGCTTGTGAAGAAATTATCCATTCGTTATTCGGTCCCGATGTACTGTGTAGTAAAATGATGGATTTATGTTGGGGCACTGGCAGTGATTGCCTTTCCCCCGTGCGGTTCCTGCTTTTTTTTTCTCAAACGAGAACATTTCGATGATTACTCAACGTAACAAAAATACTCGTATAAATATAAAACTTCCCGACATAATCTACTGGGGTTTCAATAATTTAGAGTAAACACCTGGGTCATGCTCGAATGTTTTGTCAAACAACATGTTTGGTAACAGTTCCATAAATTGTTTACACACATTGCGTGGCTTTATATGAGATCGGGTGATCTTTCCCACCCTGCTCCTGCCTTATTGAAAAAAATAAACTCTAATAATGTTACATAGTGGGGTCTAAATAATTCTTTACATCGGCATAAAGGTTTTAGCATTACAAATGGTTTATAGATACAATGCCAACTTGTACTGTGGAACATACAAACCTTGAGAGCAGAAAAAATTCCTATTTATGATGACATAGTCACTGAAACGATGACACATGATGATGACATACTGACTGCCATGATGACACAGTGACTGAAAGTCAAACAATAGTAGTGGTTATAAGTCATAAATCGCTTCTCATCTAAACTCGCACAATATGATGTCACCCTGTCTGACATGTAAAAAAAAAATCCTGACAAATAGTTTGGCTTTAAAATGTACATAAAAGCTGAATTCATGGCATACTACCAAAGAACGCCATCTCCTACATCCTGTGTTTCTCGCCCATGCCTTTAATCTAAGACGAGCGCTGCTTGGCTGATTTCTTTATCTCTTGAGCTTGTTTGTTCCTACTCATCGTAATATGCTTACAGTGTAGTCGCATTCGCATGCTGAAGCAGTAGTGGAGCAACTGGGCAATTGTTTCTTCTTTGTGTTCAGCGCATGGAAACGTTATTGTGCATGTGTCAAGAACACTGTCGATTGTGTCTTAGTAAACAGTCTTGTAACTTTTATTTTGCACGAAGAACTGTTCCGCTTTCTTCAGTAGCTGGAAAAGTTTCTTGTTGGGGTGTGTAAGGCCTCCTCTGTTCTTCACGTTTGTCAGTGCTGCTTTAGTGGAAGTGTTCTTGTCAAAGCTGAAAGCGGATCGGCATGCAGGGCAGCGTGTAGCTTTTTTTTTTTTTTATTTTCACGCTCAAAAACCCAGTCACATAATATAGCATGCAGTCCACAGCCTTGGATTCTTGAGCCTTTTCTGTCCCGACATCTTCGCATTCCCAGTCTTCGACAGAAATTAGACTGTCGAGCTCGGTCTTCACTTGGTCAACGAGGTGAGGAGACTAGGTAGTTACTTGCGATCGGCCCTTGGGATCGCACGACGCCACTGCTACAGGCGAGCGTCATTCGATGGAGCTTTAAACAAGGACACTCGCTCTGCGCAGTTCCGGTACCCCGAATTGCAGTTGGGAACGAAGCACGTCTTTCCCCTCCTTATAGCATAACTTTTTCTTCGGGTTAATGCTCATCTTCGTGCACGATGGTGGCACCGGTGATTGACACAGCACCAAAGCAACACATGAGGCCAGCCACTGACCGCACACCACCACCACCACACCGCGAAAAAGGCGAGCAAGCTACGCCCCCGACTCCGTGGCCGCCGAAGAGAGACCTCATACCCACGGTGCTTACACCTCAGCGCCCTCCGCGGCGGCACGGAACAACTACACTTCGTTTCACCCTACGTTGTACCGCAGCGAAGGCTAGAAGCGCGAGCTCATAGCGTTGGCAGCTGCTCTTAAGTCACGAGAGCTTGTGCCGCCGGGATGTGCCCCAGAGTAAGGAGCTCGCGCTTGTAGCCTTTCCTGCAGTACATCACAAGGTGAAACAGAGTATACTCCTAGTTCCGAACACGATCTGGTCGCTCGCTCCCCGTGGGGAGAGCGGCCAGTCACCACCTAAATGTATTTCTTCCACCGTGGTGCCGCCTCATCCTCCACACGCGCAGAGCTCCAGCGAGGTTGTCGCACGTGCAGAAAGACCACGGTGTACCGGGGTATCATGGCAACGAGATAATGTTTTTCGTTCTCACACAGTTCCGCCGTTTGGCCGCTGGCGACAATGTCAGCCGCGGGCACGGTGGCAGCGGAATGGTGCAGCCTTTCGTATGACCGTCGGACGAACACTATCTGATTCCTCGTGCCGCGCGTTCAACCCCGCCGTGTCCTCACCTAAAGAGTGTATCTTACACCAAATACTTTACTAGGGGGAATACATTCCACTCTGCTCATTTGCATTAGACAGAACGCCTACAGCGCCGAATCCAGCCCTGACGGAGTGGAGGTCCGCGTCAGTCCACGCGCAAGCGCACGTGGATGTTCGCGGCGGCCGCGGCGGTGTCGTCTCCGATTCCACCTAAAGCCCCTTCATGTTTCAAAAGTAACGCAAGGTGCATCGATAAACGAGGCACGTGGAACGTGCGACCCTTGGGAAGATCATGGCGGCACAGCGCAGTAAAGTATTTAGCGCACCACTGAAACACCGTACCTTTGAGCTAGAGTTTCGACGCCATGTTATTCTTAGAAGTGGCGCGCGGCACGTTTCTCGCGCATTTCCACAAAAATGAATTTGGTATGTAGAACATCAGTATCATCGATAGCCGAGACCTCCCCGACGATAGATGGCTTTCGCCAAGCCCAGAAAACCTGTCCGCGCCGAGGCTATTGTATTTGAAAGGAGTGGAATGTATTCCCTTTAGTAAAGCATTTGCTTACACCGTGCCCTAGAGCAAGGAGCTCGCGCTTATAGTCTTTCCTGCGGTACACCATAAGGTTAGTTTAGGAACTTGCGCGGCATCCACTGTAAAGCCTGGTTCAGACAGTTACGTTTGACTGCTTTTGACTGCGTTGCGGCTGCGATAAATGAGGATATCCCTGCTGCTTATATCGCGTGCCAAGATGATTCCTACAATAGACCGATCTCACAGCTAGTTTGAGTACGCCACCGCTGTCGACATGCGTCGTGGGAGCTGTAGTCTTTCTGCACGCGCGACAACACTGCTGGAGGTCTGCGCGAGCAGAGCACGATTGACATGAGCTCTCTCGTGAACTGGCATCTGCCTCCGACGAACTACAGTTATGGTGGCGTCACGCATGCGTGGAACGCTTGGTGAGATCGGCCTATTGGACTCCACGCTTCACACGAAGCACAGATGTGCAAGTGACTCGCTTTCGGTTCTCGACGCAACGCAGTCAAACGCACTCAAACGCAAGTGTCTGAACCGGCCTTTAGAGCGCGGGCCGCTGCGGTAGCAAGGCAAACAGTGGGGCTGCCGTTTGCATCGCGTGGACGGTCGGCTGCGGGCTCCGCCAAATCTGCTGCGAATCTTCCGCTAGCGTACATCGGTTTTGGAATGATCAACCGATTTCGAGCTGTAACTCCACCTTTTTTTTTACAGTATCGCCGATTCAAAACGGCTGTTGTTGGGGTTGTTTGCAGTTCGAAAGAGTTCACGGAGGCATCCACCACACCCTTTGAGGGAGTCAACGTAGCCCAAAAACACTCCCAATTCTTTGAGGGTCGATAGCCATTGCTAAGTCGTATTTCGACTCCTATAGCTTGCCTCTGGCGCCAGCTTTCCTCTGGCACCAACTTTCCTCATATGTTGACAGCCAGACAAGATACGCCTGGAATGTGACAGCCCTCCTCACAGAAACTACGACAGCTTTCCCACAAGCTTGTAGAAAACCATGTGATCATCGGGTGTTCTTTGACATTATCATTTATTGAGCGGCGACTTTGTTGTTACAATTTCGAAACATATCTCGAAAACGTCGCGGGATTGTCTATTCGGTTTCTGTCATCGCCAACAATTTTGGGTTAGTATGTAATTGTTACTACAGGATTAACAGTGTGTGGGGAGGGGGGGGGGGGGCATTCGAAAACAGACATGGCACAGCATTTTTTTTTTATTTCTATTAAGCCTAGGCCATGAGAACTGTACGTCTATCAGTGATGTGCGAGTAATGATGATTAATATCGTCGGGCCGAAAATGCAAATCGCACACAGTCTTTTTGTGCGGCAGGAATGAAAAAAATTATAATAATGTAAGACAGACAACACAACCATGAACTGTGTGGTTGTGTTGCTTTTGTCTTACGCTTATGGCCTGAATTTCTAACAAGCGTGAATGTCAAATCGGCCACGTTACAGGTGAGACGGAGTGCACAACGAGACGGAAGATCCAATCGAGACGGAATGTCCAAGGTGCCTAAATGTCCAACGAGCCTGAATATCCAACAAGTCTGAATATCCAACGTGACGGGAGAATCAACAAACATGAAATTAACCTTGGAAAGAATGTAGAAGTTATTTATTTTTTGAATAATTGATTACTTATAGTTATGGAGGTCGTTTCGGTGCGTGGTCGTTTCGGCGCCGGGCTTTTCGATGCTGAACTACTTTCGCGCGCTGCTCAGCTTGTACCTCTCAAGTTTCCTTCGTCAAGTCCCCCGATTAAAATTAACGTTATGTTAGTGTATTGTGTCAGTTTAACATATAGATAGCACCGCGCAGGTGTCGTTATTTTCGCTTTTAGGGGTGACCCTTTTAAAGTATGCTAATTTCGCTTTCCACTTATGTTTTAAAAGGATTACCAAACAAAGGTCAAAGCTTAAGACATTTCTGGTAGGTCTTTACGATCCCCAGCAACAAAACTTCGATCCTCATATCAAACTCGGTGATAAAATACAGCGTCTATTTCATTAAACTTTTTTTTTTTTCAGGTGTAGTCGTAAAGTTGTAAGCTTTTGTAGGGATCGCAGAAACCTGTGGCGAGATTTTTTCCGGTTAGCGTTAGTGCGGTGAGCTTTTGTCCGGGATTCGGTATATTGGTGCTTATCGCGACGATTAGTTTTACATGCTTCGGCCACCATACCATAACACGGCTGCGATCTGATTTAAACTGGTTGGAACACGGTCGCAGAGCCGCTGCAACAGTGCGACCGCTATTTTAGTTTGGAAGAGCGGGAGGCGTGCTATTGTCACGAATGATAATTGGTGAGGCGATGAAAACTGAAGCAAACTTAACGCTAATGGGGCGAACTGGTGCCCAAAACAAAGCAGAAAAATGCTAGCTTCGTCGGCGTCAATGTCGGCGTAACAGCAGGATCGAGCGGTGGGGCAAGCCTAACCCCAGCTTGCCACGCGGAGAACCTTCTGGTTCCGCGTGGGTTTCTAGAACATTCGCCCTAGAACGTTCGGCGCGTAGAACATTCATAACTCGATCAGACAAGAAAGTTCTCAAATTTTCTAGGGAGCCAAGTAGAAAAAATAAGTAAAAGAACATTGCGCTCGCTGGAATCGCACCCGAATCCTACGCACGACAGTCAAGCGCGGTAACCATTCGGCCACGTACTCGCTCGGCCAGCGACACGCTTGGCACTATTTTTCGGAAATAGTAGATAGACCCTTTCCGAAATTCAGGCTGGTAACTTCGATAACTATCATAACCTGGTCTGCACATGCTAATGGCGGCGTTTTAATTGCTGGTGAAGTAAACATTTAAAGACAGGCACCGAGGAGGAGTCAGCATTCCAGACGTTGCCATTGTGATGAGACTTAGAAGCTTTTGTGTACTACGTATTTGAGTTTCACATGTAAATCTTTCCAATTCTCGGCCTTGGGACGCCCCAGACAGCTCATCACGATAAAATGTCGCGAATTTTATAAATAGTTTTATTCAACGAAGTTCCTCTTACGAGGTGGTACTTATTTGGCACCATTTAAATTGAAACAAAAAGAGAAGTTACTGTAGAGATAAGAACATTGTAACTTTCGCACGTCTGCCGCTGACGAATAGGTACTAGATTTTAGCCACCAATAGCCTACAAACACTTAGACAGATATTTGAGTCACTGGATATGCGCAGAATTTTTGAAAGATCTTTTGCAGCCTGCGAAATGGGCTGAGCTACATTTGGCGATTGAACTGCATTCGTAAGGCGATTGCTAACGCGATTGCTAGACAAATACGCAGCCGGCAGATAGGTCGTTGTTGGATGCTTCGCCTACAAAAGGAGAACACCTGAAACGATATCTTGTTATATTCACAGCATTGCTACTCCACACAATGCAGCACAATTATTGTTTTAGTAGAAAGTGTGGGACTGGATTGTGCTGTAGTGTATGTCCGATTAACGATCAGATTATTGTTCTTGGTAGACAGTCCTGAGTAGGACAACGCCCTTCAAATGTAGATGCACAGCTTTTGTCGTGAGCGGGCAATGTCCCTCCCCGCACATTACGTTTACCAGAGTCTCTTTTAAATGGCTGCAGGCATCCGTCCGGTTCGGGTGCCGTGCCGTACAATATGGACTTTTGCTACTAGCTTATTGGTATAGTCGCAAATGTTAGTCGACAAAAGTGATCTAAATACGCCAGTGGGATTTGTTTAAATTTCTACTTGTGTGATTTGCAAATCATCAAGGAATGTCCCACTTCTATTATTTTATGGCAACGCATTTTAGGTACGTACATTATAATGTTTTAACCAACAGTCACAAAAAAGGGAACCCAGGTCAGCCGGCGTTAATTAGGCACACACATGTCCATTTATACTTTATTTTATTACCTCAATATTAAACACAGATTTAGTATTTCAGTTAGTTATATAATGCAACATATTTATAGAACGTTTTAAACAAATATTTATGCGAAACACTAGGACCACTTCTCAGAAACACCTTGAATGCTTTTCGCAGTTATGCAAGCTTATTCAGGAAGGCTGGGGCCTGTCATGTTAGCTGTAGGCTTTACACATCTCCCTTTCTTGCATTCTCCTTGTTTTAAGCCCAAAAATCTCTGGGGAAGAGAAATCACAATGAAAGTATAATTTTTAGACAATCTATGAGCTTCATGTTGCAAAATCCAACGTGTTTGGCTTTAAAATCAAACCTACAGTCATTTTTTAAAAGATGTTATGAACTAATTGTTTTTTACAACGTGTTTGCATGATTAAATAACACTACGTGTTTTTAAGTCTCCATCGATATACGTTTAATTGTTTTTTTTTTTCGCGTCGACAAAATATATTTAGAGATGATTAATTTGCGGTTTACCAACGCTTTCGGATTATGTGGTCTATCGTATTTTCTATCGCTTGGAGCTCGTTTTATTAATCTAAAACTCACCTAATTAAAAAAAAAAACTTCTATAAAATTACGCATTTTCGTACATGAGGCAGTATACCCTCAGAGACAGTCCCATAACTTCACGTACTGTTTATCAATAAAAAAAAAAAATATCTCTATCTAATTTTTGTTAACGAGTGCCAAAGTTCAATAACGAGAAATATTACTGTCGGGTCAACCGTATTTTCGGGTGCTCCATAATTAAATAATGGCGAGTATTGATTATTTGCCGATGTTTTAAAAAGAATAGTATCTAAGAATGTCGTTAGTCAAAGCTCCCGATTTCCAACGTGCAACATACAAAATTGAAACAGGAAATGCGCGAGAAGTCAAAAAATGCTATACGAAGTAGGATTTTTATTAGTACTCGAGATAGAAACTTGTTATCGGAAGCAGCCTTCTCTGAAACAACGTCTTCACTTAGACACTAATTTTAGAAAGGTTTTAAGAGTGGCTGAATGTCAGACCATTTAATGGTTGATGTGGTACGAAACACAGGCAGACCAAATTGTTTAATTTCAAATTATTGTAACAGCACATTCTATGCACTACACGCTTTATTCAATCTATATGGTACGGAATGCATGAGAAAATAGTCATGATTTATTTATTTCCTGCCAGTCTAGAATTTCATTAATTCTGAAATAATTGCTGTAGTCGGATTTAAGGTAGCTCTGATATCAGTTTGGTTACGTAGGTGATTCATTAACGCCTATTGATTTGCGAGGAAGGGATAAACGATATACAAAATTTGGATACGTTCGTTTGTCATGCGTTTGCAGTAATTTGAAAACAAAAGCAAAACGCAACAACATTTTTGTGATGGGAAGTAGAGGCAAAAAAGACAACAAGGAACCAGAGCCGTATATGGGAGAGTTTGGCCAATAGGCGGAGGAAAGGCCGCCGCCAGCGCCGAATATTCCCCCCGCGGTTAGAGTATAAACTAAATTTGTGACAACGCGTTAACCAATCAGCAAACCGCGGCGTCACAATATTGGAAACGACATTTAAATCGTGAAATAGAAGCGTTCAATCTCGCATCAGCACGACGACGACAACGACGTTCAGAGGATGCCACACCGGGCGTCGGCGGTTTCTCAATCTAAGCCCGGGGTCTCGGTACCTCGGAGGCGCCAGCTTTCTAGTTTGACTGGGCTAGACCCTTGGAGCCTGATGCTTCGACCCCAGTGAGCAACAGCACCATCGTGCTCCTGGGGCTCCTTTGTGCAACCGTGCACCGATCGAACGGTAGGCTGCAGATCGCCTTGGCCCGGTGCTGACCCGCCTCAACGAAATGTGGGCATCTTCAAATCAGACTGACATCCTCCGCAATAGCAACAATTCATCTCGTCGTCATATTGCACGTGTGTACTCATCGCATTATCATGTTGATTAGACCCGGCACCGCGGGCCTCCATGGTACGGGCTGTTGCCATTCCACGGTGCCGCGGCTCTCCAGAGCCGAATAAAGATATTACATTAGAAATGATCGTAACTACGCAGTTTTCTCTGGTTTGGAACGCGCCTTCGTTTATTCTATTGTTGAATATGGACTTGACGAGAACCTCACACGCGCCAAGTTTTCAGATGAAGCTATTTTAATGCAGGGACTGGCCCTCCAGCAAAGTGATGTTTTAAGAATTTTGTCTTTTATGATTATTCAGATATGTTTCATAATATACTGGCAGTGTATTCGGCGGTTTTATACCACCGAAATTATACCCACCCTGCAAGGCGTTCCGTCCGGTTTATCCTCAAGGGTAAAGCCCGGAAGAGAACGGAACCCCCAACTTCCATGTTGGCACTTAAAACGGCATTGCCCAAGTACTGGCTGAAAGGAAAATGACGAAGGAGGTAAAAATACATTATATTTTATTTGTCAAACCTTTTTATCCTCCGTAAACAATGCAACTTGAAACTGCCTTACACATATATCCGATGACGAATTTTAAGTTAAATAAAAATGATAGCAGTGATTAATGGCATGTCGAACAGCCAACTCAGTGAGTCACATTCAACGAGCAGATTGCATGAAGTTATTTAAACAGAATATAATTTATAACACACGGTGTCACGTGTAAGAATATTCTAATGTGCATATAAATACTATTAATGATTGTTTCAATAGATGAATGTTGAACTCTACATAAACTGGGAGTGGATGCCTCGAATTTATAATAAAATACAACAAAAACCTTATTTCATTCATATATATCCATCTACTTCTCTGGCAAGTACGCGTTTTGTTGTGCCCCATCAACAGAAGGGGGAGAAAAATGTTGTAAACAAGTCTTTATAAAATTATTAGAGTATAGAATGAAATAAAATTACCGATAATTTTAGATATAAAATGGTTATAGAGGGTGTTTTTTAGGCTCTATAGATTTGTTGGAAAAAAGCTTCGAAATTTGCAATAATGCGGTTTGTGCACGTGAGGTTTACGGCCAAGGGGACATAGTAAAGAGAATATTCGTCACGAGTCGAATAACTGACTAACATATGTTAATTTTGTTTGGTGAACATAAATATATTGTTTTAGCCAAAAACTTGCTGAGTGTAGTCAAAGACGACACAATCAATCATTTTTAAAAATACGTGGATCACGTGGGAAGCACGATGGGGCGCTAAAGTTGCCACTCGAGCAGCAGTACCAAGGATACTGCGCGAGCGTGCGATAACAAGTTCGCGCGGTTTATTCGTCTCTGATCAGCGTTTTCTACCCACCAGCCTTTGCTGTTACACGAGCGGAAATTATACACTCGAAAAAAAAAAAAGCCCGTGCGTCTACTTTCCCACACAACCCTTGGAGAGCCAATCACCGCAACGTACGGAGGCAGCTCAGCGAATGACAATGCCGAAACATGTATGCTTAGACCGAAAACGCAGTCTGTGTGTGACATTAAGCAATGTTCAACGTCAGGCTTGCTTTACTTAACGTCTGAACATGTGTTTCGACGTAGTCATTCGTTGAGCTGTCTCCGTAAGTTTCGGTGATAGGCTCTCCGAGTGTTGTGCGGGAAAGTAGACGCGCGGCCTTTTTTTTTAGAGTGTAGTGTACTACAGCTCATCCCTCGCGCTCACAGCATTCTAAAATTACGGATTTAGTGTTTTTATGAGGCTTAGCAAATTTCTAATGGGAACCATATGTTTATTTTTACTGGCTAGAAAGTTAATGAACAAATTTCAGTTAGTAGGTAGCGGTCAAGCGACACCACAATTAAAAGGATCCAATAACAAAGGAGCGACCGAAATCCGTCCTGCTGCCTCCTTGTTCCCTGCCAATTTAGCGCTGTTTTTTAGAACGCAGCTCTTAGGCACCCGTTTCGGGTTTCAGCGGCGTCGCCGTCGCCGTCGGCGTAACCGCGCGGTGCATTATGTTAAAATTTCCTCGCTATATTAGGCAGAAAAGTTTCTCCGCTAAATTTAGCGGAAAACGTTTTCCGCTAAATTTAGCGGAAAACATTTTCTGCTAAATTTAGCAGAAAAAATTCCCCGCTTAATTTAGGAAAAAATTTTCCGGCCAAAATAGGCAAAAAATTTTCCCCGTTAGATTTTGCGGAAAAAATTTCCTCGCTAAATTTAGCGGAAAATTTCCCCTAAATGGGAAGCGAGCAGGACAGGAGGAGGGGCATAGCCTCATCTCCGTACGTTCCCCTCCTCCTCCTCAAGAGCTGCGCTCTAATTCGGCGTTACAGGAGATTGTAACCGTCTTTCATTTTTTAGCTACGTGTTACCTTCAATGTATACCTCAATATCAGGCTGAGACGTCGAGCACATGTTTGTTGTTAGAACAACAACAAAAAAAAATTCATCGGTGGATCTTTAGGGAATGCGTTAGCATGACCCTCGGGAAACCTCACACACGTCCCCCTTTGGGAAACGCTAATGCTTACCCCTTTACCTTTCCGTCTTGGCTTTTCCTTTTGGCTTTATCTTTTGCTTCCTCCACCTAAGGATCTACCAATGGATCTTCCTTTAATTTTTTTCCGGCTTCTGTCGCACGCAGACCTGCGTGAGCTTTCCGCTTCTTGCGTCGCATTTTGGCCAACCGAACTAGGCGCTGCTTCACCCCTCTGTCTCTTTGGCCAGCATTGCTCGCTTCGCAGCGGCATCCGGTGCCTGACGCTGCTTTCCTTGTTCACCGGTTTCCCACGCGCCCATTGGCCTCCACCCCGTGACGTCACCTCCCTCTCGCGTTTGTCCTTCACTGCTCTCCTCCCCTCTACGCAACGCGCTTCCCTTTCCACTGTATTGTCCGCAGACGGACGTCGCCAGCTTTTCGCTGCCATGTAGGTACAAATGCAAACGCATTAATGAAAACGTTTTCATATCACTCATGCTATAATTTTTCACAAAGTGGCCGACATGCTTGAGGACGATTCCTGGATTCCTCTCCGTTTTACTCTTTTTGTGCTATGTATTTCTTTTCCCCAGTCATGAACCAACTTGAGTGCATCGCCATTTTAGATTAAGTTAGAAGTTTCATGAGATGGGAGGGGAACTTATGTGACACAACTTATCTGCCCTTACCCATGTCCTTGTACAATTCGGTTCAGCTGCCTGAGCTGCAACAAAAAGGTATCATAAAGATTGCGCAAAAGTATTAACTCGTCCAGTCGTCCAAGTTTTTATAGTAGATTCAGAACTTTGGGTATTTTAGTTGAATTAGGAATAATTTAGAAGATTTCATCCGGGGTGCCGGAAGTTGATGTCACCGGTAGAAGATAGTCATTGTGCCCTTCAGACGTAACGCACGCATGGCTGCATTTGAGGAAAAATTACTACTGGTCAGTGAAGTAAGTTGATATAGCCTATATTCAGTGGCAACTTAAAAGACGCAGGATGTTGCTGATTTGGTTCACTTGCTCGATTTGATATTCGACCATTTATCGGCTAATGCCTCCTCCTGACTGGCAGCGGAGAGTTCATAACACTCGTAGGACACGAAACAACCTGCTTCGCTCGAGCGATGCTACATTTATAATATCCTGATAACTCAAAGAAATATTCCAGGCAGTGGGTCCAGAACAAAAGTGTGACACGGTCTAACGAAAGTTCTAACGAAGAAGACATAGTGTCTTCTTCGTTAGATCTCATTCCGGTGCATGCAACACACATCTGAAATGTGTCACAGTTTTTGGGACCCCCGCAAGAGCTGCCATAACTGTGCTGTCTAGTCGGTGACAACACCCGCAGATCCCAAATGCAAACAATATTAATGAAACTTACTAAATATAAGTAACTTCGTAAAACATAATTTTGAGCGTATTGTTGTTTTTAACATTGCGTTCCATAATTACAATTACCATACACATTAGGTAGAGCAAAATGCATCAAAAATAATTGATCGGTTGCCTTTATGCGAGATGATAGAAAAATACACCTTGCAAATAATTAATGACTTCAATAGCTGCTTCCCCTTATTAATATACATAACTCCGAGAAGTCTAAATTTATTTTATGTTACAGCAGTAAAGTAAACAAAAAATACAGTATAACGGTGAATGATCTAAAAATGTATATTTTGTTGTGGCCTTGAGCTACGGGACCACTTTTCTGGAAGTAGTCAACTTTATATTTAACCATTTTCTAGCTACATAATGTATTCAAAACCAATAAGTGATTCAACAATAAAAGCTGTAGGGGCTGCTAGGCTTGTCATTATTCTAGGATGTTATTTGAAATTGTGATATCAGGAAATTCGGGAACATTTTCTTTCTATACTGAAAGCCTGGGCAATTAGCATAAATATAAAAAAAAAAAATTTACAACAAAACATTGATATAGAAATATATAGCCATAATCTAATGAACTCGTCATAACCATACATGATTGGGGACTATAAATCTTACCAATGAGGCACATTGCTAAAATGCCCAAAATGCAGCTGAAACGCATGGTCGCTGTATCCACAAAAACTAGTGATTCGGGTTTTGAAACTTTCTTATATATACTCAATGTCTGCCATTTGTTCAGTTCATGGTAAAGATCACAAAGCAACACATCGTGACCTTTTGTGTCATGGTTCATAATTTCGTTTCTGTTGAGCTAGATTTTTGTTTTTTGGGAATTGCCATTTTTCTTTCTTCTTACAAACCAGACCTTATGGTGTTTGGGAATAGTTTCTGCTTGCGTAAAAGTCGCCCTTTTTCCACGTGATTTGCCCACTCATAACCTTCTATTTACGTATAAGCTCGGCAGTATCTATTTTGTTTATATTTTTCTTGTTAGTAAGAATCTCAACATGACTATATTTTTTTTTTCAATGTCGTACCCATAAACAACCATCGATCTACGATGCGGCACATATGTAAAATGTTCTCAACTAGACGAAAATAAAGGCATAGAAAAACCTCCCAAGCAAGCGAATGCAAAAATGCACATCACAGCTCGTTTTGTTAAATTTCTTTTTTTGTCATGTGTCATGCTTTTAAACTCGAGTCGGTGAAACAGCGGGTGCGGTTTGTTTTTAGATTATTGCATTTTTCAAAGTAGATCTCCAACCAGCACACCATTCTTGAACCAACACCGGCACACCACTGGCAAAAATTGACTCCAATATTGGCCTAACGTTGATTTTCTCGAAACCGCTACCCGATCCAATGTTGGACCATTCACTAATGCCATGCTGGTCCATGATTGAAACAATATTTAAACTCACATTGGACCATAATTTCATGTATCGTTGGGCCGCCATTTAACGAGCATTTAAGCCAAGGTCGCAACCTTGGCTTAAATATATATATATATATATATATACTGGGTGTCCCAAGTAGCGGCCAGGCTCTTTAAATCGACCGCAAAATTCGGTTTCTTAACCTATCGCGCTACGACTTTGTGGAGCGTTGCCCAGAAATGGCGCATTTTTTTTGTGTGAAATTTGCAATCAGCGAACTTACTTGAGGAAAAAGTAAAGAAAGAAAAAGGCTTAGCTCCTATGGAAACTCAGCGAAGCCAACGGTCTTCAAACAATACTGCGCAATTTCGCACGGGAGACAAGAGGTGGCGCAATCGGTCGAGGATGCCAACTGCCGTCAAGGAGAGAGCATACGGCGCCGAGAGCCGGCGTCTTTAGCAGACGATGTTTCAAACACACTTGTACCTTCCCGAGGAAGGTGCACGGTCTGGATGTGATGCAGTCAATTCCTGCGTTGAAAACAGCAAATCGCGATAACCACACATAAATGGCGGCACCTCGTTCCTTGGTATTTCGAACGTCCGCCATCAAAGTCAACGGAGCAAGCAAGCTTTGATGGCTGTCGGCACAGAAAGCAGACGTCAAAGAGATATCGTGACGTATTTACTGGATTAAATGCAACGTTGCCCTCCGATCGACGAGGGTAGCATGAGGAATTACTCCGGAGTAAACAATCCGCTTCTGGAACGTGAGTTCTGACATCATCGAGTAAGCGCGAGTAAGTTTTAAAACGCCGCGGTACGAAACCTTTACTCCGGAGTCGGATCAACTAAATTTTGGAAAACAGCCTAGGAGACAACAGTACTACTGCCTTCCAAAATAAGTAGAGGCGCTGGTAAAGGGGTATTGACACGAGGGAGAAATCCCGAGGATTTCTTTCAAGGGGAGGAAGTGGCCGAGTGGGCTAACGCGTCTCAGCTCGGAGCGAGGAGCGAAAGCTTACGCTGGGAACCTCCTGGGTTCGAGTCGCCGCCACCCCCGCCCGTGTCGATCTGGATGAGTTTCGTACCGGCACGCGTTCGTGTGATGACTAGTGCGTGATGCACGTTAAGAATCCCAGGTCAGCGGTTGTACTGCACTGGCTAAATTTCTCATCTACAGCTAAGAGACTAATTACCCGTTGAGGCGCACCTCCATCAAGGCTGTATAAACATAAAGAGCGAACCAATTTCTGCGCGCGTTCAGTTCACCCGCTGTTGACTCCACTTCACTCCGTTCTTCCGATGAAGTGTGATGGATCGATGCTCCGCATCACCCCATGGTTCCCCTCGGGAAGATGGTGTAATTTTGTTTTCTCCCGACCTGTCCTTACTCAAAACTCAACCGATCTAGGTTAAATTATAGATAGTGATTAAAATATTAATCAAATAACAGGAAGGTTAATCAATCAATTGCTTAGCCCTACTCTCGCAACATGTTAATCACATTCTCGCCATTTAAGTTCACACCTATATTTCTACGTTGATTTAAAAAAAAAAAAGAACTGTTTAAGACCTACTGCATTTGCGGTACAGAAATATTCAGTTATAAATGTGCCCTTATTGCCTCCATATTAATTACAAGTTCTAAATCAAACAGCTCGTGTCTCTCTTCGGCTCACAAATGTCAAATATACTGCTAAATTAACAGTCCAATAAATAACCTATTATACCAAAATAACATGACTGTTGAATAGAACATGACACTTGAAAAAATGAAGAATTCAAAAAATAAATTACGCACTTAAAAGGGCTGTCGAGCAAAGACAATTACTAGCAACCACACCCAAATAATGCGGTGACATAACCGACATTTCAATCCAGCACAACAAACCGCATCTTGGTAAATAACGACTTCTCTACGCGTCTGTGGTATTCGGCTTTATACACACTTGGAGGAATTTTCTAGAGCACATACGTCCCTCCGAAAAAACCGCCATATTTTAAAGAGACCATGAGAAGACAGCCATATTTTAAAGTGACCAGCATGTCAGCCAAATCCACGTCGCCTACTGGATATGAGCCTACTTCACCAGCACTTCGATCATAAACAACAAATAGCCGACGAATGTTTCTTAAAATATTTGTTCAAGAATTTCTTGATCCACATTGTTTAGCATAATTCGCGATGTGACGGAAAAATTGCCGAATTTTATAATGCTCGGAGTCATTTGCCATCTATCGTGTGGTAAACGAAGCAAGAAAGACATCAGACTGCGCCTGCGCTGTTAACCCACGGGCGTCGTCTGCTGAGGAGTGAGGAGAACGTGGCCACGCGCGTTGCATCGCGGTCGTGGTTCCTGCTATCAGCTGAAAAACATGGCGTTGGTGGTGATCGTCGACGGGGTCGGCGTGGAGGCACCGCGTCGTTCCGCGTAGAACGATATCTTTGACGAAATTATCATCGTGAGTCGCGATGATAACCCAAAGAATCCTAGAAGGAGATACATCTACACGTGCGGCGATGTTGTAGGTGGCACCCTCAAGAAAGCCGAAACGTTCGTGCCACCGTGTTCGTATACTTCGACTATAGTGGTGCTTTGTTAACATTTGTGTCCTCGAACATCTCCCGGATTTCTAATTTTGAGCCTTTTATGCGTGTGATCAAGTTCAAGGTATTACTGGTGCGTACTGTATATAAAGGCATCTATGAAGGATGTGATTTTTAACGCGTTTTATCATTGGAGAAAAGCGGTTAGTGTTAGCATTCTTGAAATCTCGAAATGTCAATGTGATCACGAATTCATATTTATACGTTACTATATCCCTGCTAAGATTACATCGTCTTTTGCAATCGTAGAACAGGCGTGTGGCGAGATTTGTACCATCGGTAAAGTCGTATAATAAAGTTGTGATCGTCAAAGGTGGCGTACTGCATCTGTATTTTTTGTTTTACATCCAATCTTCCCCGCGAGCCTATCCTGACGCAATAAAAATGTATAATTACGACAATTGCTTTCCGAATTTCGCAGTAAAAACATCCATGAAATTGTTTTATCAGCCCGTCAGCCTTATTTTTTCTCAAATAACATTTTCCGATACTTTATTTGAGTAAGCTCTTAAAAAAAAAAATTTTGATACGGAACTACCTCTGCCAGAAACGCTATCTGTGTTGTGCTGCTGGCCCGAAATTCGCTTAGCCAGCCATCAGGCCAACACACGTTGTCCAATACAAGTTGTTGCTGTTTTTGTTGAAAGCTGTCAAACTGAGGCAACATTTTCGTTGTCGTTCATGTTGTGCTGCTGTTGCCACTATGTGACAAGTTTGTCGGTCAACACGGGGAGCGAGCAAAAAGTTGAGCGACTGTTGGACAACTGTTATGTTGTTGCTGCCGTCGTTTTGCCTCAGTGTGACAGGGCCTTAAAACATGCTAACTCTAGAGCAAGGGGAAAAAAAGGGACTGACAGACACGAAGCTCCGAACTCAGTTTGAAGCCTAATGCCAATATTAAAAGAAACAGCAATAAATCAAATATCTCCCCCCAAAAAATGACGATATACATTTTAAGGAAATTGTCGGACATTTTGGCGTTCTCTCAGAGCGCCATTGAAGGTACCAAGCGTATGCTTCAAAATAAACAAAACAGAAAAAAAATTGCACAAGAAAAAAAAAAAAAGTTCACACAAATATGTAGAGTGTGCCACACCGGCAGTCTAAAATACCAATGACATGCGGGCATCGTATGGGTGTAGCATGATTGCCCCACGTGTCAATTCCTTTGCGCGCTTCAACCAGCATTCTTCCATGTCTAAATCTAATATGTTAATGGTCTTCTAATGACGGCATGACTACGTTAAACACGCTCTTTCGCACATTTACCGTTTCGTAATTAAAAACAGAATGCACCGCGATCACGGTGCGGACCGGCCCCCTGATCTGGGGATTCGCGTCAGGGGCTTCTGAAAGTGGCCTTTCGAAGGCGGGGCAAACGCTCGCGGTGTTAGTCATGGGGCATTTGACACGGGGATTTGACATCGGGTGCTATCGTGGACCACACCATTTTATATAGCGCATCAACTTTCTGTATAGCGCTCTCCTTCGGGGAACTAGGTAGCCCACAGTGATAGGTGTTCGTTTGATCTTTTGCTGGATAAAACACGGATTCCGGGCAAGTATCAAATCAGAAGAGAGAAGATAATTTTTGAGGCGTTCAATATCAGGTTAAAAAAGGATGACGGCTACATCAGTGCGTCGTCACTTGGTTCGTCAACTAAAAAGTTCA